TTCTCTCTCCAACAGATGAAGGGCATGGAGAGCCGCCACGCCGTCAGCTCCCAGTACCGCATGTGCTCCTACTACCCACCCGCTTCCTACCTGGGACAGGGGGTTGGCGCTCCCACGTGCCTCCCCCAAATCCTGACCTCTGAGGACATCCCTTCCTACTCGGAGTCAAAAGCAAGAGGTAAGTGCACCTGCCAGGGTGTCTGGGACCGCTTTGCCTTGGGGCAGGCACCCAGGAGGTGTGGATTGCTGCTGGGAAGGAAGCTAGGCATCAGAAAGTAGGTGTTTACGAGATGGTGGCTGTTTTCTGGAAGGCTTGTCGTGCGGTGGCAACATAAGGCTGTTACTGTACAGTAGTGCAAGCTTGTAATTCTGAAGTCTCATGGTTCAGGAGCGCAGTTAATTGTAACTTTCTGCTCCTGTTTATGTCTCTAAGTTGTACAAGGAGTCACGTGAGGTGCTGTCTTTGGTGCTCACCACCTGGCTCCCTCACAGGAACAAGGAATTATCTTTGCCCCAACCACAGAATTATCTTCCCTCTCAGAAATGCTGTCTGTGATTTTTTCCACAGGCCTCCCACTGAGCCTTTGCTGTCCTCTTCTTTCTGAACCACGTGTGGGAACTATTCCTGCGTCCCAACCATGTCGTGAAGCCCTTTGTAGACTTGCTTCCTTGTTTGCTTTCAAACTCATCACACAGTGTTACTTCATTTAAAACTACTGCAGATAAATTTTTCTTTTCATATCCAGTGTTTCTTGGCTGTCCTAAGGATTACTATAATCTGCAATAATTTCCAGGGAAGCGTTGGTGAATTTACCCTGTGGTTTTGACAATGTTTCTCTCACTTCCTTGTTCCCTTGCTCCGGTAGCAGGTAGAGTGCACACACAGGCATTAACATGGCCCTGCTGGAGTAGACCAACACCACTGAGCTGCTTCCCTGTCCCTGGAACAGGACAGTAGCTGATGCTAGAGAAACAAGAAGGGAGACAGAGTAGGGTGATCCTATTTCGTATGTCCAAAACCCTCACGCTCCTACAGCATTCAGAGGTGTCCTGAGCTGTTGATTGCCTCTGAACCATCATTTCAGTTAACAGCAGCAGACCTGCACTCTGTGAATTGAGCTAACCCTTCCATAAGCTTCTCACACTTTTTTGTCTCTCTGTAGCAATCAATGAATTTGGCAGTTTAATTTTGTATGGTCTGTGGGAAGTATTTCTTTTCATTTACTTTACACCTGCCAAATTTTTGGTTTTTTTTTTTTTTTTTTTTCACAGAGTCACACCACTGGCAAGAGCATCCATCCTCATTTGCTTCTCTGATGCACTTATACATTGAAATTAATCTTCTCCTCTTTATATCTGATGGAAGGATGTATGTTGCATAGGTTCCATAATTGTTTTCAGTGATAGCCTTTCTGTGGCTGATGTTATGGTGTCTGTTGCATTTGTGTTGTGGTGAAAAATACGGTGGTCGTGTCATGACAGGACCTTAAGGACTCAAATGGAGTTTTGGAAGGTGAGATTTGTATAAAGTCATACCTGTAGCTGCTGTAAATCAGCACTGAGCCCTTGAATTCAGTAACTCCAGAATGATTTATGCTGAGGAGGTGGCTGTTCTTTCGGAGTGGCTGTTTTCTGAAAGTCTTCCAACTAACTGTGACGTATCGGATAGATGAAGAAACAACACGTGGTGTGATGAAACCTTAGACTTTTCCTCCTTCTCCAGTAGTTTTAAATGGCTTAGAGAAATCAGTGGTCCTTGGTTCATTTTCCTTCTCTTTTCTTCAATTTTATTTTCTTCCCTCTTCTCTGACCACCATTGAACAGTGACGTCTTCCTTTCTGCCCATTGGTTGGAGAAGCCGCTGGCTTTATGCTCAGCTGCGGTTGACACTTTTTCTTGCATCCATCACTACTAACTCACTAAGAAGTCTTACCAGTCGAGTGTTCTTACAAATAGACAAAAGACCTTATACCCTTTGTTCCCAAATGCACTTCAGTAATTTTTCATCACTCTAGAAAAAAGTTGTGCGTAATGTGCCACTGATTTTTAAACTGCATAAATACTGTATTTTCAATAATCCCTGACTGCTTCTCCAGACAGTATTCCACACACAGATATTGTTCCCTAAGTTACACCATCAATCAGAAACCGACAAGCAGTGAGATGTAATTTACTGAGATCAAACAGCATTTTCCAGACTCTGAAGAAGTGTTTTTCCATAGCAGGGAGCTAGTGGGTGAAAGAGGCACCAATATTTTTGTGAGAAACTTGAACATGTGAGCAGGACCATACCCATTTAATAGGCTTCTTAACATCTTCTTTTTTGTTATGCATGTTCTTGGGGGAGATGACTGCTTTTACTTTTTCCATCTACAGACAAAATAATATTCTCAGGCTGTTAGTTGATGATTTACACTCCCATGATGTTTTTCTTCTGGTGCTTTTCATAGTCCTCAGAGGGTTTGAGGTTTTTTGCCTCTTTATTGTCACCTGTGTGAGTGCTGAGTCAGCCAGCAGGCTGTGACTGGTGGATCCTGTGTATTAAAGAGGGTGGCCCATTCCCCCAAAGTATTGACTGCCCATGCTGCAAGTGCTGTCTCATACAAAAGACATATTCTTACACATTTCTCCATTGACTGTTGGGCTGAACTTTTTGTACAATGCCTGACGGCTTTGTATGAAGCCTGGTGACATGTTTGTGCAGGGTTAGTGATTGCTACTTGCTAAAGACAACTCTAGTGCATGTTTTAAATAAACAAATCATATTTTACTCCTTCCTTTTCTGCGGTTGAAGTGGTAACCATGCTCAGAGACTTGTTTTCTGTCTTAAGAATACATGTTCATAGATTTTAGGTTCAGAAAAGAACATTAGGATCATCTAATCTTACTTGCTGTATAATGCAGACTGTAAAACTTCACCTAACAACTCCTGCAGCAAGCCCATAACTAATTTTTTTAAGATCTATGTGAAGTCTTAGATATTGTTAATGCAGAAATTTTACAGGAAGGTAACAGCGCGTATAGAAGAGCAACAGGTCAAGATGAAAACCTCATTTTGCAGCCAAACTTTCAAAACATCAGAAACGTGTATCTTTAACAAAAATGGTGATTAAATTCCCAAGCACAAATCTGAGATGGTCTTACAACACATACAGTCTATTACCCACGCTTCAGTTGTAACTTCAGCTTTATAGAGGTTTTGCTAGTTCATGTATTATCTCAGTTAGTATTTCAGTCAGACTGTTTCATTAATTTTTTTTTGCTAAGTTAACTGCCTGCTTAGACCAGTTATATTGAAAGGGAGATGAGCTAGCAGACTGCTGATTTACACTTTCTTTGTCTTTGTGAATGATGCGAAGCTCTCGGGAAGCTTCTGACATTTGTACATGAGGTCATACCGTGTTACAGTGTGTTGCATATAGTAATGGGCTGACATTTTCTGAATGGCAAAACACCGTCAGTCAACCTTCTTGCAATTTGAAGGGGTTCTAAGTAAAATGGTTTTGCTTCCAACAAACACAGCTGCTGCCCTTCCAGCTGAAACTGGAGAAAATGGGGAGAAAAAGAAGATAAACTAGTGACAAATGGCAAAAGGATGTTTTCAAAGGGCTCTCTTAGATCACCAGGTTGTAAGCTTTATATAATAATTTCTAGATATGAGAGGGATTTTGTACTCTGTACTTTCAAAAGATTTTTCCTCTCCTTTTTTCTGCAAGAGCAATGAGAGGAAAAGATGTATGAGAGTTTGTTATCAATCCCTGTGCATCCAAAGCATACTTTAAAATATGTCTTTCTTTTGGAAGAAGCCAAGCTGAGAGATCCTTGTGCAAGAAGTGGAGGAATTAGAGTGGATCACAACAGGGTATTTAATCTCCAAAAGCCAAGTGCCTTATTCCCATTGATTTCTGAGGGACAGTTGCTTTTTTTTTTAAATGGGGCTTTTGCAGGATTGGATCTCTGCCCAGAATTGGGTAGCACCTTCCACTGATGTTGAGTCGGTCCCTCCTGCACTTAGATTTGTGAAATACCTGCACAGGACTTTGGTTTGAGAGAGCAAGAGAGCACATGCTTGGGTCAGGACTGTGTGCCTTTCTCTGGGTCCTTTTTCCACCGAGTAAAAGTCGAGCATTTGCTTACCTGTATGGGAGTGTTTTCCAGGTTTGGGAGAGTGGCAGAAAAATTTAACATCCAAATAGAGGGATGCAAAGGAGAAACATCCCTGTATTTACAGACACCTTTGATTTTAAAGTAGTTACCTTGTCTTAAAGTTGGTGTGGAATAAAAACTCCTCTTTGTCATTATTATGTGCAATGTTGAGATAATTATTCTGTGTGTCTGTGCCCGTGGTGAAGGAGATGGCTTGCATTTAAAATGTTGCTCTAGCTGCTGAATGGATTTGAATTTTTATTTTCCTGTCTGTCGGGACAGTTGGAAACACAAGTAATGAAGCAGTGGAGCAGTGCTGTATTGCAGCTTGAACATAAAGCAGGACCCTGAAACTCCTCCCAAACACAAATAAAAAAACGTGATATAAAGTGTTCATTTTGATACAGAAAAGGTCAACAGTTTTGTGTAAATCAGCAAACACCATTTTATGAAGGAGAACATTTCTAGTAACAGGTTTTTTTGTTGGAAGCAGAACAGCTTCCAACCCTTTCAAAACACTTTTTCACAGTCCTTTCTAGAAGTTCGATAACTGGTATCCCCAGTTTTACAGTTGTGGAAATCAAGGCAGCACAGACTTTTCTAGGGTCTGCATTTAAAGACTCACCCTTGCATCTCTCTGCTTGGATGCTCTATGGAGAACAGTGCTGAGCCACTGGAGCAGCCTGCCCGAACTGCAGCAGCTCTGTAAAGAGCCTCCTCCAGTGGTTTCACAATCAAGGGCATGTTGGAAACAGTCTCCCTGCTTAAGACAAAAAGTTTCGTTTTGGCAAAAGCATGTTTCTTTCAGACCGGCTTACTGTGCACCAAAGTTATGCCCCTTTTTTGAGGTTTCCTACATACGGTATCTTTGCATGAACCTGTGCCCTTGAAATGCATGCAAGATAAGAGTAATGCTCCAGAGCCACAGGTGGCACCTGGCTGCAGGATCAGAGAGGTCAAGGAGGCCTGGTACACAACAGGTCTTTGAGACCACGCCCTTGAACCTGAACTGCTTTCTGCAAGCATGGCACT